CTCTCAAATAAATAAATAAAATCTTAAAAAAAAAAAAAAAGAGTAAGTTCCAAATGTTTATTTATTTTTTTAGATTTTATTTATTTATTTGACAGAGAGAGACACAGCGAGAGAGGGAACACAAGCAGGGGGGGTGGGAGAGGGAGAAGCAGGCTTCCTGTTGAGCAGGAGCCCGATGCGGGGCTCGGTCCCAGGACACCGGGATCACGACCTGAGCCGAAGGCAGACGCTCAACGACTAAGCCACCCAGGTGCCCCTCAAATGTTTATTAATCAGTCAAACCCCTTTAATGTTCTCCCTCAAACAAGAGCACAGAAAAAACTGCTTCATGCTTTGGCAGCCGTCCTGCAACTGTGGAAAGACCAAAAGAATCCCACAGAGGTCAAGTCACTTGCCAGGGCCACAGGCCCAGATCTGATGCCACAGCGTACCCCGCTACCACACTACTCATGGTCTTGAGTCCTTCTGTAAAGCCTATGCCATCCTATGTGGGGGATGCCTTCTTTGCTCCCACCGCCTTGGGCTTCCCCCTCACAGCACTGTACTGAAGACCACTTCACTTGTCTTACTCTTCTAGCAGACTGAATTCCGGGGTGGTGGGTCAGCCTTGGTCACCACTGTATCTCCAAGGCCTGCTGACAGGATGAGATGTTGGGAGAAGGAAATTCCAGAGCAATTCTCTCCACTCCTAAGATTATTTCCCCTCTGGCGATTCCTAGGTAGGGCGATTGGGGTTTTTTGTTTTGTTTTGTAAGATTTTATTTATTTATTTGAGAGAGAGAGAGAGCAGGAGGAGAGACCGAGGGAAAGGGAGAGAGAATCCCAAGGGGACTCGGCATTGAGCGCAGAGATCAAAACAGAGCTTGATCTCATGACCCTGAGATCGTGACCTAAGCCGAAACCAAGAGGTGGATGCTTAACCGACTGAGCCAAACCTGGGGGGCAACTGGGTGGCTCAGTCGTCAAGCGTCTGCCTTTGGCTCAGGTCATAATCCTGGGGTCCGGGGATCAAGCCCCACATCAGGCTCTCTACTCAGCAGGAGGCCTGCTTTTCCCTCTCCCATTGTGTTCCCTCTCTCACTGTCTCTCTCTCTGTCAAATAAATAAATAAAATCTTTTTAAAAATTAAATTGCCAAATTTGGGGGCACCTGGGTGGCTCAGTTGGTTGAGCAGCTGCCTTCAGCTCAGGTCATGGTCTCAGGGTCTTGGGATCGAGCCCCACATCGGGCTCCCTACTCAGTGGGGACTCTGCTTCTCCCTCTCCCTCTGCCCCCAACCCCCCCCATTCCTGCTCACTCACACTTGCTCTCAAATAAGTAAAAATAAAATCTTTAAAAGAAATAAAACTAAATAAAATTGCCAAATTTGGTTTAAATTGCACCCCTGGGGCAACTGCTTTAAAGTTCAGCAAAACCCAGCAAAATCTTGCCCCTGGGCTCAGTTACAGGAGGGTTCCTAAGAACCATCTCCTGTTGCATCAGCATACAGGGGTGGAGGGAGGGAAACCTCACATATAAACTCCTTCCTCTGAGTCAGAAACCCAGGAAACAAGGGGGCTGAGAGGCCCTGCCCAGCTTGCTTCTTGGGTTGTGACCTAGAACTCTCCCTCTTGGGAAGCAACTACCTCCTCCCCACCCCAGCACCTCTGACAGCAAACCTTCAGACAGGGGGAAGAGGGCTGTCCTTGTTCCTCGAGGGGCATTCACTGAGTCCTTTCATGGGAAGCTCCAACTTCTAATTACCAGGGTGTGGGGAG